TTAATGTGCATCGAACTGTAGAGACACAAAACTATGTTTATGGCTCATACTTTTCTCTAATTTGTGCTTTTTTAAAATTAATGATTTAAAAAATATATATTTTATTTTGAAAATTAAAAATTAAATAATTTGAATTTTATATATTTTAATTATTAAATATTTAAATTAATATATTTTATTAAGACATTATATTTTATTAAATCAAATTAATTAAATTACTGTTAAATTAATTCAACTTTATATAAAATTCTGATTATTTAATTATCAAATCATATTTTTTTAATTATAAAAATCTATTGATTATATTGAAAATTATATGAGTGATAAAATATATTTCTTAAATTAAAAGTTTAATATTATTTCCAATGATTTCATTATAAATTATATTCTTAATTATTAAATAAAAAATTATATTAATTAATCATTTGTAAAATTATATCTGATAAGAAAATTGTATAACTATATTTTGACCAAACAGAAAGGGACAACAAAATTAAAACAAATGTAACATAAATTAAAATAAAGACACGAGTGGAAGTTACAGAAGGAATTTTGAAGATATTGCATATATTTATCATTTTGACAGCTTTTTTGTTTTGTGAGGAATAAATCGTCAACAGGTATCGGTCCATTTCCTTTATAAATAGGGCGAGATTTGGCGAGAAATAAAATTAGATTAATAAGAAAAAAGCATTAATATCTTTGTTACAATAATCACAGCACCCAAATCCAACATTTTTAAAGTGAATAGTAAAACCTGAGATCATGTTGTCAGCTATAAATTTAGTGATATCTTTCCACAATGTACAAGTACAGGACCAAAATAAATTGGTGCGCATTTCAAGATATAAGTCACAAAAAGATCAGTTTACATCAACGTCACCCTTTAACTTCTTTAAGAATGTTTTTGCTGGATCAATTTAAATGACACCTTTTTTACCTTATTCATCAGGAGAAACTTTTTTGGTTTTTATTAAGAACCAAACATTTGTCACGTCAATGTCGCCAACAAAATGACTCTGATAAAATGTTTCTGCAGGAGCAGAAACCATATTATCCTGTAACAGAGCCCTGATTCTGGAGTTTGTACCTTTACTAAAAGAAAAACAGATCTCTGGTGATGACGCTGTCAGAGGAGAAGACTGGTGCATGTTCACGTGGAAAACCATCTATGACACAGATATAAAGTCTCAGGCGTGGATTTACATACATGACACCATTAGATAATCTGGGCTACATCAAGAGATTAAGATTAAAAGGGATAAAGATTTGGGAGTCAGCGTCCAACAGATATCACAATGTGAACATTAATCACAGTATGGAGTTCAGTGTACGTTCTGATCTGTCCCAGAAGTCAGCGGTGCTCAGTGACTCTTCATCAGCTCACTGTTATCTGTATTTTCATTTGATGTTATTGAAATAAGCACATACATTTACAGCCAAGGGGAAGGAACATGACTTATTTAATTTTATTGTCATTATATATTTGTTATGACCTACCTGCAGTGGTGCCACCAATGTGAGAAAGCTTTTTCCCAGTAAATGTTTTGTCCCTTACAGTCAACATACTCCTTCAAATTAAAGCTGTATATTTGTCTTTTTAATGGAAAGTACAATCAGGCTATATCAGGGAACAATGACTCATCTAACACTTGTTTATACGTGACACACTGCAATCAGAAAGCAAAATAGAATCTGGTTTATTGATAAATAAGATTCCACATACGAGGAATTTTAGTGTATTGGTTCAGAACATAAACATTACACACAAATTCTCAAACAAACAGTTTGTATGATATTTAACAAATTGCTGCTCTACAAATGGCGTCCTGACGTTCCATACTTAACGTAAAGTTACATACTAAAGTTAGTTAGGTTAGGTTTAAGCAAGTAACATCATACGGGTTAGGCAAAGGAAAGCTAAGTTATATAGTTTAGGTTTCAGAAAAGAATCATGGTTGGGCATCGTCATGTTACGAACCTCAGGTAAAGTAAGTAGTAAAAATCATGGTCAGGCATTATGTTACCTAACTCACGTAAAGTTACATGTCCAACATAAATTTATTTAGATTAGGTTTAGCAAAGCAATGTTACGTGATTACACTTAGGTAAGTGAAGTTATGGAGGTTAGGTTCAGGGAAAGAATCATGGTTGGGCGTCATCATGTTACGAACCTAACGTAAAGTTATGTAAGTCTGGTTTGGGGAATTAATCTTGGTTAGGCATTATGTTACCTACCTCACGTAAAGTTACGCATCCAACATTAAGTTATTTAGAATAGGTTTAGCAAAGCAATTTTACGTGATTACACTTAGGTAAGTAAAGTTATGGAGGTTACGTTCAGGGAAAGAATCATGGTTGGGCGTCGTCATATTAGGTATCTTTTGTAGAGTTATGTACCCAATGTAAAGTTACATAGGTCAGGTTTTGGTAAAGTAATATAGTTTGGAATCATCACATTACGTACTTTACGTTAAGTTACAAATCAAATGTAAAGTTACGTATGTTAGGTTTAGGAAAAGAATCATAGTTGGGCATGACGTTATCTACTGAACAAATAGGTATGTATCCAATGTGACATTATTAAGGTTAGCTTTAGAAAAATAATAATGGTTGGGTGAAACAATTGGGGGTTGTTACATTACGTACTTTATGAAAAGTTAAGACCCTAACGTAAATTTACAAACCTAATGTATCTCTTGCATTTCTTTTTTTGTTTTTTATCCCCCTGAATCCTACACACTGGACCTTTAATTAAACACATATGATAACTAACAATGTAAATGTCACATAGAGATCACTGACTCGTGCAGCAGCATGCAGATGTTTGCGTCTGATGACCAGCTGAAAAAAACTGTGAATCAACATTAATCAACATGAATCTATAAAGTGTGAACTCATCACATCAAGTCATGTTACAGCCTGCACATTAAATTATCATGAGTCATACATTAATTGGGCATGTTTGGTGCCCTGATTACAAAGTGTTGCCCGTGTTTCTACACTGCAAAATATTTCCAGAAATATTTCACTGTAATATTTCACAATAAATTACACTATTCATCTTAAAGGCTAAAACTGAGTGAACAGGATGTGTCTCTGTCAACAACCATTTCTCTTAATTTTCTTCTCATAAGTATGGTGTGCCTCAGGGGTCCGTCCTGGGACCAGTTTTATTCTCCTCGTACGCGCTTCCCCTCCAGCACATTATTCAGAGACACAGTGTCTCTTCTCATTCTTATGCTGATGATACACAGACATACCTGATCATTAGATCCACAGACCTTGTTCAGTTATTGACTGCCTTACTGATGTTAAAAGCTGGATGTCAAAAAAATTTCTTTAGCTGAACTCAGGCAAAAGAGATTGTTGTCGACATTTGTTACTTGACAAATTTTGTCTTTGGCTGGTCCCCTACTGGATAATATCAAAGCTGTTGCAAGCAATCTGGTTTGACAGTACTTTAAGACTGAGCAACTTGACACAAAGCTTGTAGAGTCATTTTTCATCTTAGACATATTTCAAAAAATACAATCCATTTTAAGACACAGAGATGATTTTACAGTCGGGGCAACCCAGTTTCACTCCGAAGTTGTTGAAATCCAGTGCTTAGTCAGTGACTTCCGGTGTCAGACACCGACGAAAAAGCCGTCCTTTCACGTCAGTGTGATATGTGGCCAGTCGCCGTTATTGTTTAATGGTCCCCAGTGGCATCAGGGGGAAATGTAGGGGGACAACAACAAAAGTTAAAGCGGTGGAAGTCTGAGTAGGTCGAGTAGGGTGGGTGGGAGGGGTGGTGGATGGGTCAAACAACCACCACATTTACACCGGGGAGGCAGGTATTCACTTCCTGTAAGACTGTAAAGCCAAACCCGGGTTCTTATTTCCTAAACCCAACCATGTGTGTTTGTTGTTGAAGGGGAAGAAAAAAGTCAATCCGGGGTGTTGTACCAACGTAGTGCTTTTATTTTTATTTTTATTTTGTACATTTCCTGTTAAAACAGAAGTGTATTTTGAAAACAGACAATGCATGTAACAGGCTGAAGTTGACACGGCGTCCCAGAACGTCAACAACCAACAAACCCAGGGTACCTTGGACGTCATATGTGGACGTGGAAAGTCCATGACCAAACGTGGACATGTGACGAGGTCACAGTGAGGATGAGCCCGGTGTGTTGCTGGAGTTGGTGGAGACCAAAAGCAGAGGTAAAAGGGGAGTGAATATTGGACTTACATTCATCAGGTGCACAGAAATACGACTTGCAATGAATGCTAGTGTTGCCCCATACGTGTTTAAATGTGTAAAATATAAACTGCATTCTAACAAGTCCAACATAGCAACATTAAAGTTGATCATATTTCTGCTGTCAGGGCCCCGAGGCTCTGGAACAATCAGCCCGAGGAAATCAGGTCGGCTGAGTCAGTGACCTCTTTTAGGTCAGTTCTTAAAACAGACTTTAATTAGAGAGCCTTTCCTGGTTTTACATTAATTAAAACTGCCTTTTATTTCCTCAGTTTTTATAAACCAAAGTGTTTTTATCAGTTGTTGTTTTCATCTCTTGACTGTTTGAAATATTTACATGTAAATCACTTTGTAACTCTGTTTTCAGAAGCGTGTTATATTGAGAAATGATTATTATACAGCTGTCATGTCACAGTAATTTACTGTAAATATGACACAGTCAGTTACTGTGAAAGTGATGCACCAAGTCGCCAGTAATTTACTGTGAATCTACAGCCAAATATTTTACACTTTATATTCTCCCTTGAACCTGATCTTCCTCTGAGAATCTGACTTGGTGTTGGTGTCCTGATATGTTTCTTCTCACAGACAGTCTCATCATGTGGGATCTGCTGTAGTAAAACAGGGTGGCGGCGGCACAGAGTCAGGGAGGAGGGGTGGGGAGGGGAGAGGGACCCGGATGCTGATGCTGACCGATGAGGAGAAGGAAGCTCGGGAGAGGGAGGAGGAGGAGGAGGAGTGTGAGAGGTGGGGAAAAAAAGAGAAAGAGAAACGGGGGTGTTACGGGCAGCAGTGGAAGTGAAGAGGCCATCCCGTCAGTGATGGACACTCCTGTGGCTGCGGACAAGTTCTGACGAGCTGAACCTCTGCAGAGCCAATTTTATTTTTTATTATCTTTTGAATAATTAGTGCGGGAGACAGGAGGCGGGAGGAGATGCGGTGATATCATGAGCAGAGCCGGCCAGGGAGACAGAAAGAGAGACAGAGAAGAAGAGAAGGAGGGAGGAAGAGGGCGCACGGGGAGGAGAGGCGGGGAGTCGGCTGCCACCAGGCCAGCTGAGGATGCTTGTTGTTTCCACAAACGGGATTAATCACCGGGCCGAGCGCTGATCCTCCTGCCGCACATCGAGCACCTCTCCTGGCTGCAGCTGTCCCGGCCGAGGGCGCGTTCCGTCTGCGTGTCTGGGGCCGGTCTGCCGGAGGCTGTTTGCCTTTTTACATGCTCTCCCCCCTCTTCCTCTATTTCCTGATGCAGGGCCGGGGAGGGGTGAGCCAAAGTGTGCACCGGATATTGGAAAACCCATTCTTCTTGCTGATGCTGTTGTGATAATAGATTATTATCTGGACAACGACGCATCTGCACAGAAAGGCAGATCCTGAGCGAAGCAGGCCTGGCTTTGAGGAGCGAGGAGATGGGGAATGTTTGAGCCTGGGAGGATGATGGAAACATTTTTGGACGGCAGCAGCAGCAGAGAGGAGGGGGGTCCCTGATATCGATCAGAGAATGGATTCAATCAGGGCATTCTGACTTGGGATATTTGAGACTCAGCTCTTACAGAAATCAATCCGTGGCAAATGTAGCCTTCCTGCCCGGGTCTGAATGAGATCTTTCTTTTCTGCTCCACTTTTGGCCAGCTGCATAAGCTACACGGGATCAATCAGCTTTAAACGACTGTTATTTATAGCAGGGGGTGGGTTGGATGTGACTGTATCTCCCATCACTGGCACCGGTCAAACCTCACGCGTCCTCCTCGCTCTCATCTTTTCTGCCTTCCCTCTGAGTGATGCTGCTTTCTGTGCTGTGCTGACAGAGACACACGCCGGGACAGACTTTATTCTAGGCCTTACAGAGTGGAAACTGGGCCGGTTCTCACTCCCAGCACGGACCTGGCCGCATGACAAACAAGTGCATGGGAGTAGCCTGCAGGGCCCGGCTTTAGATCACGACCAGTCCTCCGCACCTCTCCTCTCCTCTCCGCCGCCTGTGATGTGCGTTACGGCATTACGCACGGAGCAGGAGCCACCGCGATCTTGATCTGCCTTATATCAGGAAGAGAATTTCACCTCGGGAAGGATGAGCAGCAAGGAGCTGACGGTGGGCCAGTCCAGCCAGTATGTGGGGCCTTACCGGCTGGAGAAGACCCTCGGGAAGGGACAGACAGGTAGGAACCTCCTGAATTACCCGGCACAGCGAGCAGGACGTCTGCACGGTGCATCAGCTGATTCCAGCAGTCAGGATCAATTTAATACATGATGTGCTCATGTTTCCATCCGTCTCAGGGGTGCAGGCTCCAGACTCTTAGATTTAATGTCCTATAAGACTTTAGCAAGTTTATTTCTAACCAAATTTTAAAAGTAATATTTGGACAGTCATCTTCTTCTTACAGCAGCATTGCAGGGAATATGGAGGTTAGTTGGGTGGTCCCATGCACAGGTTGGGTTTATGTTGGAATATGCTTATCAGAGTGAGACAGGGTTAATCTACGGCACATTTTAACAACAGGTAAGTAAAGTGTTGGGTTTAAAGATTTGTAACCTGAGAGCTGTGTAAGAGCCTGACTCATTTTGCCAAAAAGAAATTAAAACATGAACTAGATCAAATGTTTGTGGCAATTAAGACCTAAAAATGTCAAATTTTAAGGTGATTTCATCAACCATTTTTTGTTCAGGGAAAACTGACTGAGCATTAAGCTCCTTTACAGCAATGTCCTGAGTTCACATCCAATGGGCTGGAAGGATACAAATATATAATTGTAATAAAGTGATCTTAATGATTTAATGATTTTTAAGGCCTACTATTGAATAAATTAAGACCTTTTAAGGACCTGCAGATGCCCTGATCTTGTAAGCCCTTTTATCTCCCATGGTTTTATTCTGCCATCATCTCCCTGAAGGATCTCCTTAAATAAACCCAATCGCCAGAAATTTTTTTTGTGTGTCTGTTTCTGCAAAACTCGAATACGTTACATTTGTGCATTATTATGTAGTGGGTACGTTGAAACTTTCTTAACCACAATGCTGTGGTTAACACAAGGTTATGGTTAGAAAAAGATCGTTTTGGCTTAAAATTGGTTTTGGTGGCACAATCCCGGCAGGAAACAGCAATGTCTGGGTAAAAACCAACACCAATTTGTTGATTTTGGTCAAAAAATACCCACATTTGGGCCTAAAAAGCCAGTGGAAACACACTGACAGGTTGCTACAAAACATTCATGTTTGAAGCCTAAAGAACCACTGGAAAACTACTGATGGTTCGCTACAAAACACCTTCCTATGAAGCCTGAAAAGTCCCTGGAAACACAGCAGTGTGTTGCAACAGAACACCCACGTTGGGACCCTGAAAAGATGCCAGAAAAACACAGAATGGTTGCTACAATAGCCCCACACTTGAAGGCTAACACTGGAAAAACAGCGATGACTCACCAAAAAACACATTTGGAGCTTGAAAAGCTGCTGGAAAGACACCGACAGGTTGCTACAAAATACCCACATTTTGAGCTTAAAAAGACTGGAAAACATTGACAGTTTGCTTGAAAATACCCATGGTTGTAGCTTAAAATGCAGCTGGAAAAACACTGAAAAATTGCTACAAAACACTCGTGTGGAGCCTACAAGCTGCTTGAAAAATACTGACTGCTACAAAACACCTGCATTTGGATCCTAAAAAGCTGCTGGAAACACACTGACAGGTTGCTCCAAAACATTCAAGTTTGGAGCCTAAAGAGCCACTGGAAAAGCACTGATGGTTGCTACAAAACACCTTCGTTTGGAGCCTGAAAGTCCCTGGAAACACAGCAATGGGTTGCTACAGAACACCCACGTTGGGACCCTGAAAAGCTGCCAGAAAAACACAGACAGGTTGCTACAAAAGACCCATATTTGAAGGCTAACAAGACAATGGAAAAACAGTGATGACTCACCACAAAAAAGCTTAAAAAGCCACTTGAAAAACAAAGACAGGTTGCTACAAAACACCAAAGATCGGAGCCTAAAAAACCACAGTACGAACCAACAACCTAACAACCAAACGTTGTTAGGTTGCTCCAAGTCACCAACAGGTCGATAAAATTCATCTACATTTGAAGCCTAAAAAGCAGCCGCAAAAACACTGATAAGTTGCTACAAAACACTCACTCATGCGTGGAGCCTAAAAAGCTGCTTGAAAAATACTGAGTGCTACAAAACACCTGCGTTTGGAGCCTAAAAAGCCGCTGGAAACCCACCGACGAGTAGCTAAAACACAACCCGTTTTGTCTCTGTTGGTGTTGAACAGAGGTCTGCAGCTTGGCAGCCATCTTGCCTTGGTGTAACGCCATCCACCATCCCCTCCACCTCCTGATGACAAAATCAGCTCATATATTACGTCACTGTAGAAACGTTGATATGACGCGCATGAATGTGAAGTATTAGTGGTTTGAAGAAACGTACAATGCCAACATTTTCCTCTGGTGACTGGGCTGACTAGAATTCATCACAGGTGAATATTTTTTTCGCTACATGTGGAGGGAGGAGACATCACAGCAGGGCTTTGAACAAATATTCCAATCCGTCTTTTTGTGAGCAGAGTTTGGTCAGTGCTTGTGACAGTGTCAGTAAAGCTTTTTGAATTATTTATGATATCCCTTCCTTCCTGTTTTCACGCTGCATGATGATTTGTGATATTCCAACAGTTTCTCCCTCTGTGTGTCTTTCAGGACTGGTGAAGTTGGGCGTCCACTGTATAACAGGACAGAAGGTGGCCATAAAGATTGTCAACAGAGAGAAACTCTCTGAATCCGTTCTAATGAAGGTACGATACTTCTGATTGACCTCATCCACTTGTCCATCTGTCTCTGAGCTGAATCCACTCTGTCTGTAATCACTACCACTTTCATTATGGTAACTGCGAGGCTCAAATCATGTCAGCTTGCACCCTCCAGCCGGCAGAAATAGCAACAGAAATGGAGTCTTTATTTTAGTCAAGAAAAGCCCGTCTGTGTGTGGGCACTGCCTCTATATACCGAACAATAGAGATGATTTCATTCTGCTAATTAAGCCCTCTGATGAAAGCTGCTGCAGCTGAAACACACTGGACTGAAACAAGATTGAAATAGCTTTTTCATGTTGGCGTTTCTAATGTGGCTGATTACGTTCTCTTTTTAAGATACAGCAGGTTACAGCATTAAAACTTTGGGCATGAGGATGTGCTGTGTGTTAAGGTGTCATACAAAATATCTCAGCATATTTGAACATAATTTAGAGATATGTGTGTGTTTGACCAGATTTCTTGTGATGACAAATGCAGGTGACAAGTGCAGAAATAAATGTCATTTGCACCCTTCGTCCCCTGGAAATGCCACCAGTCCCCGGTCATCTGGTTCATACAGTATTGCTCATTTGTATTGTTTTGGAAAGCTGCCCGTTGCCTCCTCGGGGTGCTAACTGCCAGTAACCGCATTACTGTGCTGCTGTGTGCTTTAGCTTCAGCTGGGAAGGTCAGCGAAAGCACGTTTAACTCCAAGCTTTTTCCTGTTGACACTCCAAACGTGGCTTTTAGCTTCCTGCTCTGCAGGGCACCAACACAGAAGAGAAACATGACAAGTCTGAGAACGTGTTTCTGACAGATGTTGCCCATTTTTCATCCTCTCATATACAATTCAGCCCTGTTTACACCTGGTATTAACATGTAACTGGATCTCAATTTGACAGTACAGGTGTGAATGCACCAATGTGTCCTCATTGCATCTTGAGATCCGATCTCTCAGACTATATTTGGAGGTGGTCTGAGCTGCAAATGGCCACATTCTTTCAGCAGTGTGTATGCTAATGTCCTCTGGGGCACACTGAAGGGTCGCCTACTCAACTGAAGTCCATTGCACAGGTGGAAATATGGACTCAAAACGCAGTTGGGTGATGAAAAAGCAGCCAAGGTCGGAGCCTAAAAGCTGCTGGAAAAATACAGATGGTTGCTACAGAACACCCATCTTTGGAGCCTAACAAGACGATGGTAATACAGCGATGACTCGCTACAAAACATGTTTGGAGCTTAAGAAGTTGCTGGAACGACGTTGACGGATCTCTACAAATCACCCTTGATTGGAGCCTAAATAGCCACAAGAACGCTGGCAGGTTAGTGGTTTGCAGAAATGTACAATTCCAACATTTTCCTCTGGCGACTGGGCTGACTAAAATTCATCATTTCTTTTCACTACATGATGAAGAAGAAGACTTCACAGTGGGGCTTTTACTCGTTCGTGCACCAAAGACATCGTTTTAAAGTGATACATCACAAGTCAAACATCTTGGGTGTTTTGGTTTGCCCTAAAAATGCCAAGGGACAGACTCGGTCTGTGTTGGTTTGATTTTGCCCATGTGGCAAGATCTTTGCAAACTTCTTCTTCACTGGAAGTGCACTTCTTCTTCCTCTTTTCGTTTATTTGCACTGCAAGTGCAATGCCACCTCTGGCAGGTAAAATAGCAACATATTTGCAAACAGAAATGATGTATGTGTTTATTTGCATATAGAGCGGGGAAGTGAGATTGGATCACATGTGGTCACTCAAGACACATGTGGAGACGCATTCAAGTCTTAAAGTAAATGGCCACTTTAGAATGAAAACACAGACAGTACTTACTGACCCTCATGCCGACAAGAAGTCCAGTGTAGTTTTTTAATCCACAAAACTTGTTCAGGGTTTCGGAGGATAACAGCTAGCCGGAGTAATAGCTACACTTGAAGTGCATGGAACCCACATTTTGAAAATGTAATAAAACTCCGCTAATACGTTCCAAAAACGTCAGAACGGCTCGTCTGTCGTAATCCAAGTGCCCTGAAGCCACAGCATGCAACACTGACTTGAAAAGACGTAATTTACTCCACGTTTATAGCATCATTTCTCACCGTGGTCAGTTAGCCTGCCCTGGAGGAGTGCTGTGTTTACATGGCAACTCGCGCGAGACTAGCTGATAGCTAGTGGTGGTGCTAGTTCTCAAGTCTCGCGCGAATATTGATTAGTGCAGTTGAAAGTCTAACGTTGTGCTCACACCAAACATGATGTGAATTTTGGCGTAGCGGTACTCGTGTGAGTTTGAACGCTAGATTATTTTGTACTGACTTGCTTTATACGCGCGTCATATGCTTGTGAAATCACTGAATCAATGAATGAACTTGAGTGGATCTCAATGCTGATTGGCTATCATGGCGTGAATTGGTTGCTGAAGTACAGATTTTTTAACACGGGAATAAGTGTATGACGTGAAATTGTGCTTCTCGCTTCATTTGTGCTGCTTAATTTGTGTATTTTGTGTCATTTGTGTTGCGTGCATCTAATCGCATCTCTACATTGGTTCTACATGTAATTCAGTCACGCGAATTGTTTTAATCCACTCCAGGTGTGAACACAATTTAAGTAAGTTCGGTCTGCGCTAGCTTACCATACACATGCACCTACGCCTCGTTTCCACGTAAGCAAAAGAGGCGTGACATGTAACACAAAAGCATCGGCCTCTAGTATGACACATGACATGTTGGCAGCTCCTCATAAACAATAACAATGGCATGACATGTCAGTATTAAACAATAAGCAAAAAAATGAAAATGTCTGCTCTCCGTTCGCAGAACATGTTTTTATTGTCTGTGCTGAGAAACATACAGAGTTTGGCAAACGAGCACTTATGTCTGCAGCTCCTTATATGTGGAATCTTCTGCAGAGAGGTTGTATTCATTGGTTCCTCTTGGCCGTTTCAAAGCTCTGCTGCAGGATATTTGTACACAATCATCTATACGCCACATCCTATATGTCAGGATGTATTTTAGCTGCTCGTAGCCCTTTAACACCGACGGGAGCGCCCGTAATCCCATTTGCATATGTACTTTTAAATGCCGGTAGAATTGCAAACAAATGACATAGAGCAATAATTCTTTTTACATATAAAACCAGAGGAGTTACACTAACATATCATTCATCGTGTCCCAGAGCGCTGTTTCAGCGTGTAAAAATGTAAAGATATGCTCTGGCGGACTTGTTCTATGATCATGGTCATAAAGGGTTAATCATGTGTAGTTTTTATGGTTAACTTACAGCATGTATTCACATACTTTTTGGCTTTTCCTTGAAGTAATCTCATTTTGTGTTTTATATTGCTCCTTTAAGAGCTGCATGTTTTTTAATTTGGATTTTTGCTCTGTGTTGCTGCCTGTCTCAGCCAGGACACTCTTAAAAAAGAGATTTTCTATTTCAAGAGTTTTTTCCTGGTAAAATAAAGGTTAAATAAATAAAATTTAAAAAATAATTTACTGTCCTTGTTTGTGGTGGCTGATCTCGTCATCTGCTCAGAGGGTAAGGAGCTTCTGGACATCATTGTTTTCCCAATTTGCGGACATTTTTGGCTGCTGTTCTTCTTTAAGTTAGCTGCTAACTGCTATCACCTACCTCTTAAATTTCCCACAACAGGTCATATGCGTAACACGTCATCAAAACGTCACACCTGAGCCGCCCGTGATCCCGTCCTGCCAGCTGTCCCTTTCATACAGGCATCGTCTTGGCGCTGTTACTACCTCTGATACCAGCTTAAAGGCGAGACAACTCTGTACCCCATTCTGCGATCGTACCTTTTATACAGAACAGCAAGGCGGAATAAGAGCGTGAAATTCCCACCTTGATGAGCAGTGTGAAAGGGGCCTACAGCTGCGTTTGTTACCATAATGACTTGTTTCTGTCACTAAATTATTTGACTGTAACATTTAACATTTGACCAAACTTTGCCTTTACACTGACTTCCCTCCCTCTCAACCTCACGTCATATTTACCTTCCTCTTCCTCCTGACATTTTAATCTCCGTCATTGTTAACCTCGTCCTCCTCTTTTCTCTCCCTTCAACCCCTCCCCCTCTGTCCATCCAGGTGGAGAGAGAAATAGCTATTCTTAAACTAATAGAGCACCCTCACGTTCTGAAGCTGCATGATGTCTATGAGAATAACAAATACCTGTGAGTATCTCTTCATCTTCCTTTCTGCTGACGTTTTTTTAAATCTTTCTGCCAGAGCAGAAACAACCTTGAGTCTGAATCAAAAACAAAACTGAGATTAATAACCACATGACGTGGACAGTAGAGAAGCTTATGAGTCCCCCAGTCACAAATGGATCCCTTACAGACTTGTCAGGTTAGCTCTTAACCTGATGGAGAATTGGGACACCACTTCCCCTCACGTGAACACGCAAAACCAGGGGAAGCGCCAAGACAAGGGCTAAGGGGAAGAAATGGAATTGGTCCTAGGTCTGTAAGGGCTTAGGGCTTGAGTCAAGGAGTCTGTAAGGGATCTAAGGGATCCATTTGGGATTGGGGGAGTGTGTGTTTGAGTTTTTATGTTTGGAAGAAGCATCCATGACTTTAAAGGAAGAACATGTTCCTGTGACCAATGATCCATTTCTCTCCTCACCTGTCCTCATCTCTCTGCCCTCCTGTCTCCTGGTCAGGTACCTGGTTTTGGAGCATGTGTCCGGCGGAGAGTTATTTGACTACCTGGTGAAGAAGGGCAGGCTGACCCCCAAAGAGGCCAGGAAATTCTTCAGACAAATCATCTCCGCCCTCGACTTCTGCCACAGTCACTCCATATGGTCTGTGAGAGGATAGTGACCTCAAGGCCCGCCCCCTTTTTGTTTCATTTACACTTTTGTGTCTAAACTTCTCGCCGCTATTTCAGGTGTTTGTGTTGATGTCTGTTTCTGCATCGATTTGCAGTGCTGTGCATGAACACGCTAAAAGAGCGCATTTAATGAGCGAGCTCAACCACACGTAACCGTTTGCAACTATTTAACATGAATGTGGTTCACTCTCAGGATAGCGAAGGACGTTAAGGCTCTGTGTTTTACGGCACCTTGCATGCCGGTGTTGTGTTGAAGCCAGTTGTCCCATCAATAAGTTCTACCCTTCCTAAATGTGAACCAAACCTTCTCCTTTGCCTGATCATGGAGGGGGACGCTAAGCATTTACACAATAGGGAAGCCATTGGACGGCTCGGAAAAGACTTGGACACAACACATGTATAACTGGTGCAACTGTCAGTTCACATACACAGCTACTGCTGAAACCAGTTCTTATTAATACTCGAAGGAGTTTTATGAACAAATCACCATCAAAGACAACAAGTTAAAGTGCCACTGAAGTTAAGGTTTTTGGCTCAGAATATGAGAAAAGGATAACGGCCTTTTTACCATCTTTACCAAGAGTGTCTCTCCGTTAGTTTGGTGCTACAGTATTTACACTGAATCATTCAGCATAACGTTTGCCAACCTTTGTTATCTCTGCCATTACAGATAAGTTAATGAAGCTAAGCTCCAGAAGTTAAAGTTAGCTTAACTAGAGCCCTTTGGACAACAGCTAACAATGATGTACAATCACCAAAGTACAAAACTAGAACAAAATAGGCTAATGAACTCCCAGCAAACAAGGTGACATGATGAACAACGCAGCTAGGAGCTAACGTTAGGCTAACTTTAGCTAACGTTAGCTAGAGATGTTAAAGATAACTTTATATTTCTTTCCAGCAAAGTGACAATATGTTGCCTCAAACACAATGTTGACTTACCTTAGAACAGATGTAGACATCATTGTTAATCTTATTCACGTTGAGTTGATGTTGTGGTCTAACGTTACCACACAACTTTATCCAAAGGAGACACTTTTCTCGGTTGAGATGTGGTTTAAAGTGTAAAAATACACCTGGTCGCCCAGCCTCTCAGGATACCTTGTGTCAGAGTTGCATGTACCCCATGCACACCGTTTGACCATTTTTAAACTTCAAATCTCAGAAAAAGCTCATAAAACCCAACAAACTGACTTTCTGTAATGCATTTCAATGGACGTCCAGGCAGAGAATGTCCAAGTGTATGGGAATGGCTATAAGCACTGTGATTGGCTCAATGTGTTTGAGGGCGGGGCTTAGCCATAGGTCAATTGTTCCTGCTGGGTACTAAAAAACAAGCCCAAAACATCCGCCACATGAGCGACAAATTTGAAATGACAAATCAAGTTGAAGCATCCAACCAGTCCTGGGTAACATCTGCAAGTAACTGATGAACAAAAGATTTTATTTTAAAAACTGGAAAAATGACTTTAAACTGATTTATTTTTTGGGACAGTGAACTATGAATGTGAACTAGTTTAATCTGTGTGAACTTTGAGGTAGCTCTTTTACAATGTGATCGTGCACAACACTGCATTTTGTTTCCCCCTAACCTTAAAAGATGTTTTGATAACATAGTTTTTGTCAATGCTTAACCTCAACTCACACTTTACCCTAATCCATGACCAAACTGAAAACTGCAAAATGCAAGTGTTTGCCATTGAAGATGCAGTTATTAGAACATTAAAACCAGGACACACATGAGCACATTCTGTTCACTACACAGTAGGCTAGATCTTTAACCTTCTAAAATGTTAACATGTCCTGTTGGCGTCAACCAAGAGTACGAACAAGTTTAGATTAGAGTTAGTGTCTGTTTATTGTCTGGAAAAAGACTCAAGTACGGTCACTGAGCGTGTGTGTGTGTGTGTGTGTGTCCAGTCACAGAGACCTGAAGCCTGAGAATCTTCTCCTGGATGAGAAGAACAACATCAGGATAGCTGACTTCGGCATGGCCTCGCTACAAGTCGGGGACAGCCTGTTGGAAACCAGTTGCGGGTGAGTGCTGGGTCAGAAGGGGTTAAAATGAGCTTGTAAAGGGACATTTCAGATCTTTTGAAGTGGGGTTATATGAGGGGCTTATCCATAGTCAGCGTACAGCAGATGGCGGTCAGCATCAGTTTGGAGAAGCATGAAGGAGTACCGCCACAGAAGCGGAGCGATGTACAGCTGTGGATGGGGACAGCAGCAGAACATATTTTAAGCCCCTCCCCCACAAAAACCCACCAACATCTAAATTTTGTCTTTAGTGGGAAAGGTTACGATTGACATTAATTCCCAGGACAGTTTAAGTATCATCTTGTGTTGTAAATGAACTACAAAGATGTGAAACTGGTGATAAACACAAAGTGTGCACAACATTATGAGCGTCCACTCGCTGCTGCTCTTCTTTTTACGTCATCGATGGCTCTGTTCATGAGGAGCTTTTCAGGAGGAATTTAACAGATAGAATTAGTAAGAGATTGTAGCTCTCACCTGGATTCACCTGTCCGGTCAATGACTCTCAGAGCAGGTTGTTGTGCTCTCACTGCAGTGTTTTCACATGAATCATCATGAGTGTCCTTCACCTGTGTGTCTCTGGTTAAATCACTTAGTAACAGCTTCTTCTTTCTCCGCAGATCTCCACATTATGCCTGCCCAGAGGTCATCAGGGTATGTTACTCTCCTCTCAGCGTGTGTGTGTGTGTGTGTGTGTGTGTGTGTGTGTTTGGATGTCTAACACCACCCTGTTCTTTGTGTTTCAGGGTGAAAAGTACGACGGTCGCAGGGCAGATGTTTGGAGTTGTGGAGTCATCCTCTTTGCTCTTCTTGTGGTAGGAAGATCCATTTCTTTCTTCTTCTTCTTCTTCTTCTTCCAGTTTTCACCAGCTTTTTCTGTGGAAGCAAATAAGAGACATGAATATTGAAATTTTAACAGTCACACAACACTGTATATTAAAATTTAAACAACACTGAATCCACAGCAAGGAAATATTTTACTTTGAAAACCATGTATCTGAATTTATTTATTTATTTATTTATGAATTTACCTCTTTGAAAATATAGTGTGAAATTTCTGGATTTGAAATTTCAAAATCTGAAATTAAATATTTTTTCAAAGTTTACAAAATCCAAATGTTTCAGAATTAAAAACTAAATGTAAATGAAATATCATTTTACATTAATAGCATTGAAATATTTTACTTTGAAAACCATGTGTATGAATTTATTTGTAAATTTACCTATTTCAAATTTAAATGGGAAATTTCTTGATTTGGAATTTGAAAGGCTGAAATTAAATGTCTTTTTTCAAAGTGAACAAAAATCCAAAATTCAAGTTTCAGAATTTGACTAAATAAATAAATAAATAAATAAAAGTATCATTATATATTAAATTTGAAGTAATTAAATATTTTTCTTTGGCAACCATGTGTCTGAATGTATTTGTTTTGAACCTACCCCTTTGAAATTATGATGTGACATTTCTTGATTTGCAGTTTCAAAAGCTGAAATAGATTTTTTTCTTCCAAGTTCACAAAAATCCTAAACTTAAGTTTCAGAATTTAAATAAATAAGTAAAATATCATTTCATATGAAATTCATAGCACTGACATATTTTACTTTGAAAACCATGTATTTTAATTTATTTTCTCTGAAATTTCCTTTTTTAAAATTATAACGAGATTTTTTTTTTTTTTTCAGTGTTTATGAATTTTAGATCCAAAAATAGATTGAGGTTACTTAAATTTGATTAGTCAAACTCAGATCTAAAAAGTTGAAAGAAATTTAAGGAGAATATTGATCAAATTTGATCGGTTAAAATATTCTGGCTTGATTGCCTATCCTGTCTTGGGTACGCTGGATGTTGGTATTTAATTTTTTTTTCTTGAATTTTTAGATCTGAATTTGACCAATCAAATTTGCTTTATTTTTTAAAATTCAAGAAAAGTCATGTTTTACTTTGAAAGAGGAAATAAGGCAAATACACGGTTTTCAGAGTAAAATATTTCAGTGCTATTGTTTCAAAGGTGTTTAAATTTCAACATCAAGTAATTAGTTACTGTAAAAATTCAAATACTTTTGTCTCTTTCTTGCCTCCATACTCTCTGCCCTCTGACTCTACAGAACAGTAATCATATTGAACCTCACTCAGTCGTCTCACAGCTCAGACTGTCGGGATTAAATCTTAAAGGTACCTTGTGGAGCTTCTGGCAGCCTGGAGCGATGTTGTGATGAGCTGGTCACCATTTTGTTTATATCTTGTGCTCTGCTGACGAAGTAGTAGGATGCACAAGTGCGTGGGTGACGCCGGCTTTACACTTTTCCACTGAATGACAGTTGGTGGCGTTAACCTGCCAAGAAATGAAGCAGCGAGAAAAAGATTGCCTGGAAACAGAGATGTAAAATCACACGTTTGTGAAGCCTTAAATATACATACAGTGTTTTTCTGTGAGACATAACACAAAGCTACAGCAGCGTTTGTCTCCAAGAAGATCCACAGGGTGCCTTTAAAGGAATATTTTGACAAATGAGTGTCTCAACAGCTCACGTTACATCTTGTTTGTTTAATCCTTAAATGTAGTAAAACTGTGAATTGTCATTTTACACCTGTGTTGTTGTACAAACAAGATAAAACATGTTAATTATTGAGCTTTAAAGGTGCTGCTGGGCAGATTTTTGATGCTATGTGGTGCTACTTGCATAAATTAGTAATAATATTATTATATCTTTTTGTAACTCTGTTTTATCTTCTCTCCATCTTCCCCCGCCCCTTCCCAGGGTGCCTTGCCCTTTGACCACGATAACCTGCGGCAGCTTCTAGAGAAAGTGAAGAGCGGGGTGTTCCACATGCCTCACTTTATACCTCCCGACTGCCAAGCGTTGCTCAAAGGAATGATAGAAGTCAGCTCTGATAAGAGACTCACGGTGAGCAGGGAGGGACCGTGGGGTTGACACAGGGAGAGCACACAGACACATTTTTATCTGCTAAAACACCAGCTAATGGAAATGGTCTTTAAATCATATAAGTGACAAATATTTTCAACTACAGAAAATTAAATCTCTGACGCTGTCAGCTATCGGTCTGATTATGATTTAGCCTCTGGAGGCAATGGCTGATATTTCAGGGTTTCCAGTGTAGCCAGCAGGTATCCATGCCAAGACTTTATCTTCTGAGCTTCTGACATTTCAATTCATCTCTACAGTCAGGACCACTTTAGTCAAAGAAAACTTTATTTCCATTTGCAGTATTATATTTGGTGGTATGGCTCTGTTCTGGGGCCTCTCTGCCCTTCCATGTGCATATGTGGAAAGCCTAAGGTGGAGAGAGCACACCTCTCTGCCCTTCCACAGGCTAACAAGGAAAGCCTGAGGCAGGGAGAGCTGCAGCAAAGACCCCAGGGAACAGAACAGAGCAGCATCAATGACAAACAGAAATGACACTGATAAGTCAGACACAGCATGAAAAGGAGGAGCTGGGGTGGAGGCAGGTTGCAGAGCAGCTTGCAGAGGAAGCAGCAACAGTAGGCAGGCCAGAGCAGCTTAAATAGGGCGCCCTGAATGAGAATCGCCAGTTGGATGCATAGAAAGGAATCATGTGATCTATCAGCTGACTCCCTTCATCAATCAGCTGATCCATCAGAGAAGCATTTCGACCAAAGCGTTCCTCCTCTTTTGCTCTCCACATGAAACTCTTACCTGCAGCCAATCAAAGCTCGCTCAAACGTGATTGGTCAGCAGTACTCTGACTACTAACAGAAACACTTTTGATTCCAAAATCTTGTCTTGATGCTTCTGCATTCTTGTGCAGATCTCTGTTTATAGAGATTACAGCTGGCAACATTGCAGTGCACTGATGAGATATGAAATTTGGAGTCTACAGTAATACAGGACATTGGTAAAGATCAATCAAAATCAATGTTTGCCAAAAATATTAAACATTGAGGCTGTTGTTTTGGCTCATGTCGGTCAGTGGGAGGAGAGGAAAAGGCAAAACCAACCATGACTAAGCAACTCAAGCTTTTTTGCTGATGGTGTATTTCTCTTGGTGAATATTTCACAGAAAGTGCGACCAGCGTAGCTCATAGATTTTAATAGATTTAGATTTTTTAAAGTAGATACTGGACGCCAAGATGGTGCCTATTCATTCCAGTGGAGTTGTTTACCTGGTGCAAAAACATTTCTACCTTCCAGGTTTACTTCCTCAGTAGCACAGTAAGGTTTCTCCAGCTGACCCCGCCCACAAGTTCCCGCTTGGTTCGTAGACTTTACATTGTGATGACATCAGGGATTTTTAAATCGCTTTTCTTTCAGGGATCGTGAACACTCTGGTTCAGGCACGGTTGTGAAACAATTGTCAGACATGTCACTAAAACAAACTTTTATTTAAGATAAAAATAGATACAGAAGTGTCGGTTTTCTTTCCCCCTGTGTTTTGTGAAATACTCACATGTGCCGGCTGTGTCTATAAATGAGAACATTTTTTAGTGCATCTGTTTGAAGTAGAGGATCCATTAGCCCCTTTTACACTGCCAGATTTTCAACGAATGTTGGGCCGTTTTGCCGGCAAGCTGCGAGCGTTTAGACACACAGAGCCGGATTGGCGAGTTGATCCAAGGTGCCCAATTTTCCGCCTCGTAGGGTAGACATATTGGAGGAACCCTTTTAGTTTAAACAGACCAAGGCGGCCTTCCGTAACGGGAGGGGCTGTTGATGACTTGTGGGAGGAGCTGTTGATGACGCTGCACGTGCGAGCCACTGGCGGTGGATAAACAGGAAACAGCTGATAGCAGGAATTAGCGAGCAGCTAGTAGCAAGAGGGAAACACAAACCTGACAGACACTGTAAAGATGAGCAACTGGGGAGACAAGGAATTGTGCGCCCTCCTTGTCCTCGCAAACGAAGAGGCCATTAACCGTCAGATGACGGGGACGGTGAAGAACGGGCCGACTTACGAGAGAATCGCCGAAGGACTGACCAGCCGCGGCTTCCCTCCCACGTCACTGTTTACGTCACACGCTGAGCTACACGTTTTGTTACTTGCTCACGCCCCCCATTGCCCCGAAAAAGGCACATTCTGTATAAACAAAAGTAGGTAGGCGGCATTTTGCTGCACTCCCCGATTTTGTTTTTATACTGCCAATGCTGAAAAAACACTGATTGGACTTTCCTGCAAATTTGCACAACTCCTGTTTAAAAAGGGCTTCTGTTTAGAAGATGAATAAGCATGTGGAGGGTTGAATCTACCTCTGTTATCTGCGTATGAATGGAGGAGCAGCAGTAACTCAGGCAGCCAGGGCTGAGCCAACAGTAACCGCTCACATTGCAGCACATCAGTTTCCACAGCACATGAAGCATGAATGAGACATTTAGGAGGGAGGGAGGAAAGAAAAGACCGAGCCTCTGGCTTTGCTTTGAGATGTGACAGAAATCGACCCTGACATGAGACCTTACCGAGGGAAGAGGAGGGAGAGGAGGAAGGTGGAAAGAGGGAACGAGCCTGAGGTGTTGCTTAAAGGCAGGAGAGGAGTCATGACAGGACTCAGAGGCAAGTCAGCGGTTTATTTGGAGACGAGGCTCATGGAGGCCGAGATGCAGGAAGGAGGATGCACGTATGGACGGGTCGAGTGGCTGTAAAGAGGGGTGAGGGTGAAGAGACGAGGACATGTCTTCCTTTTCACCTAAACGCCAGCTCCTGAAAGCTCGGCTTGTAAAGAGACCGGCAGCTCAGAGGGAGCTGGAGGGGAGAGGCTGAGTGACTGAATGACTGAGTGACTGAGTGAATGAAAGAAATTCCACTGCACTCAGGATTTAAAGAGTCTCTGGGATGAAGCAGGCGTGTGGAGTGGAAATGAATTCATGCTGAAGAGGCAGAGGGACGGAGACAGCTGTGATAATGTGGTTTGCAGAGACTGCTGACAGAGAGAAAGCCTGCATGGTCAGTTAGTCATTCAGCTACAACAGAGCAGATTTAATCAAAGCTGTGGCTTCGTCTGATGAGCTGTTGATTAATGGAGCCTGAAACCAGGTCAGACTGTCTTTCTCTCTGTCTCTGGCTGTCTGTCTGTCTTGTTGCCTCCATGGAAACCAGCCTCCATGTAAGGAGACAGATTTGAATCCAGCTGGAACATCAGGAGCGTCTTTATTTCCCCTTCTTCATCATATTTACATCAGTTAGGAAACAGGAAGTGTCTCTGTGCTGCATACAGGACTTTATAAGTTAACAAATGCAGAGCTCTCACTGGCTGCATACAGCTGCTTCCTCTCTGCACACAGTGTTTGCAGCAGGCCCACTTATAACTTTCAACACGCTTGCAGAACTGCAGCTGCTCTGTTTCTCCAACCCCAAGAGATACAGCGCAGTATTGATGCAGTGGCTACTGCTGGAATGCAGAGTGTATGACGTACTGGGAGCAGGGGCGTAGGGTTTTTCAACATTGGGGAGGCGACATATATTACATGGAAGATCTGAGGGTCCTCCCCCAGAAACTTTTCACTATCAAGGCCCTAATCGCACAGAAAGGTGCACTGCCCTTTTTTTTTGGTTAAACTAAATACTGGTGGCCAAAATGAGTTTTCTCTGTAGGGTGTCTGGGCTCAGCCTTAGAGATAGGGGGAGGAGTCAGACATCTGGAAAGAGCTCAGAGTAGAGCCGCTGCTCCTACATGTTAAAAGGGGTCAGCTGAGGTGGTTCAACAGCTGATCAGGATCATCCTGGGCGCCTCCCGTTAAAAGGTGTTCTGGGCATGTCCCACTGGTAGGAGGCCCCGGGGCAGACCCAGAACACACTGGAGGGATTATATATCTCATCTGGCCTGGGAACACCTCGGGGTCCTCCAGGAGGAGCTGGAAAGTGTTGCTGAGGAGAGGGACGTGTGGAATACTTTGCTTGACCTGGCCTCGGATAAGCAGTTGAAAATGGATGGCTGGGTAGCACCTCATCACCTCCTCACCCTAACCTTCCGGTGTAACCAATCTACCATTTGTGTATCCTGCAGTAATCAGTGTGTAGCTGCTGCCATGTTGAGGCAGAGGGTACTGTCTGTAGCTCTGGTTGAGGGTGAGAGGCTGTCAGCAGATAAACAGAGATCTGTGTGGGTACATGAGACCCTAAAAAAGAGGCTGGATCATGGGGAGTACCACCAGTTGGTCCAGGAGCTTCTCCTCCATCATGGACGTTTACAGGCAGATTTTAGGATGACTCAGGGGCAGTTTGACAACCTATAGCTCTGGGTATCCAGCAACCACTACCACCAGTTTCTCCTCCATTGTTTACCAACTGTAAACTTGTTGTCATGACCACCACAGAAGCCCCGCCTCCCAAATCATCCCATTGGACAATGGGGAAAAAGCTGAAATGACGTGGGGCAATATTCCGCTCTCTCCTGCAGTTGAAGATTTTTCAGCTTAAGGAGTTCAGAGAGCTCCGACAAAAACGCCAGGTGCTTAGAGCGCAGAAACACGAGGCGCACAGTAATGCAAAAAAAGTATTCTCATTTAAAACTGTTACAAAAGTCGCCTCCAGCTGCTGAAACACTTCCTGTGCGAAAAACTTAATTTCCTGCATCCTGGTGAATCTCTATGCACCAATTTGTGTCTTATCTGCATCAGTTTATGGTGAAAATGTGTCACGTTACTTCCTGCTTCAACCGTATATAGTTGCGTCATCTTCCTTGCATTTTTTGGAAAATTATAACCTTTGCTTTTGATGTTTCACGCTGCCATCGACTACTTTACCTGAGGCACTGTTGTGTTTATGAGTCACGTTTTAGCAGTCTGTCAAAATACATTAAAAGCCCTTTGCTACTTTAATGTTTTTATCGGAGGGGACAAATGCACGTGTTCTAAATATCGAGGGGGACGTGTCTCCTGTCTTCCCCCAAAATCTTCTTTTCCTGGGATCAAGAAAGTGAAACAGCCACACTGAGAGCTCTGTGAGGCTGCTGCAGTTTCAGTTTTCGTTGATGTATAATTTTAGGATTAAATCAGCTGAAAAAATGGGAAACTTTGTTTTCACCAGTGCCATAATGTCGTCTTCTATTTTTGATTACAGCTAGAAGCAATACAGAAACACCCCTGGTACCAGTAAGTACACTGTTCTTACCTACTTTGCGTTTCTCTGTTTTCTTCTCATGCTCCTAAATTTCCCATCGTCACACTCACTTTAATCACTCCGGCCTCTTTCCTCTCAGGGGTGGTCGTAACGAGCCCTGCCCGGAGCAGCCGCCTCCTCGCCGGGTGTGTGTGAAGAGGATCCTGTCCCTAACAGACCTGGACCCTGACGTCCTGGAGAGCATGTACTCGTTAGGCTGCTTCAGAGACCGGGTCAAACTCACACAGGACCTTACAAGTGAGGAGTGAGTAAATATAACCCATCAAACATTTCCACTTCCAAGAGATGGTAACACGTCACTGAACACCACTGTACAGGAGTTTATCACCTGTTGAGTCCTCATTAAACTGGTAGAACAGATGTGTCAGAGGATGACATACAGATGTGCAGCGTGTTGATGCATGCTGGGAAAAAAGCAGAACTGTGTGCAGGCCTGATATTTCCTAATTTAATTGTCAAGGCCACATGGCCTGCAGCGAGGCAGTGTTTTTTAGACAGCGCAAAGGCCACGTGCCTGAACATCAAGGCATTTAGATTTGACTTAAAGGGATAGTGCACCCAAAAAATGTAAATTCAGCCATTATCTACTCACCCATATGCCGAGGGAGGCTCAGGTGAAGTTTTAGAGTCCTCACATCACTTGCAGAGATCCAAGGGGAGAGGAGGTAGCAACACAACTCCACCTAATGGAGGCTGAAGGCGCCCCAGATTCAAACGTCCAAAAACACATAATTGAAACCACAAAATATCTCCATACTGCTCGTCCGTAGTGATCCAAGTGTCCTGAAGCCCCGACATAAAAAGTTGTTTGGAAAAACCTCATTTGAACTCTGTTTTTAGCCTCATTGTAGCCTGTAGCTCTGACTGCCTCTCTGGGCACCGCGCTCACGTGTCTGAGACCAGCGAAAGCACGTGAACACACATGAATGCGGTGCCCATGTCTTACGGTCTCGCGCAAGCGCGTACACGTGACACGTTGAATTACAAATTCAATTGGGCCGGATTATAAAACCAGAAAATGTGGATGGGTCAGACATTTTCAGTAGCGACTAACCTACTGAAAACTTTTTTAAAAACTCTTGATAATGATGAATATTAAAGAAATGCAAATTAACACAGTAAAAGTTGTAATTTATTTATTTAGTTTACTGTTTATATTTGAATTAAAAATAATGTGTGTCACATATCTGACTGAGGAACATCACATAATGCAGAAACAGAATAAAAATTAGCTATCAGTGCATAACAAGTGGCATTAACAATAAGTTATAACAACCTCACTAACTGCCAGCATCACACACACACACACACACACACACACACACACACACAGCTCATATCCTCACATTTTCCTTTGAGATCAAGTGTTTTATACAGTCACTGGCAGCAACAGTCATGTTTACAACAGCAAAGTCACGATATAAACTCAGTAATGTCTCAGTGGAAACAAATCTAACATGTCAATGACATAAATATTCCTCCTGACATCACAACACTGAGTGAAGAAAGTAAAATTATCTAAGCATGAAGAACACAAACATCAGTATCAGTCATTCATCCTGCTCTCTGAGGACACTCACTGTCTGCAGGTCGCTGCCTCAGTTACATGTTCACATAAAGTGTTAGCGTACACACAGACAGCTTTCATTTAGTTTGTCTTTAACACTTTGCTGTAGTGCGATGTGCTTGTGTCGACCGCGATTGTAGACCACAGTTGCGGTGAATGAGAGACTGTGGACAGAGCAGACTGAAATATGGCTTTCTAAGTGCTGATCACATGTATTGATAAAGTATTGGCTTTTTACTGGTGACGGTTTTATCACACTTTTTCACAGTAACGTGCGTAGTTGTCGTCAATGACAGTAATTCCCACCAGGCGGCACAAGGAACGCAACAATGAAAAATATGTAAAGTAAGCGACAAAGCAAGTAGCGTAATTTTGCATCATACCCTTACTTGTTAGAGCGGAATAATCGGACCTTCAGTGATTAATGTGCTCCGTGATAGCCAATCAGAATTGAGATCCTCTGAGGGCGTGTGACGCTGAGACGTACCGGTGAAGTTCATTCAGCAATTTCTTGCACGTATGATGCCAGTTATTCACCTGTATGAAGCGAGTCAACACAAAGTATTCTAGCGTTTAAACTAAATGGTTTAGTCTGCGCCGCATTAGGATTTGTCTTTAAACACAGCTAGAGCTGAGTGAGTGACTCCTAATGCAGCTGGAGTGTCAGCGTACACCGTCATGTCTTCCCCCAAGAACTGAAAACCAGGGTTCCAAAAGGGAAAAGACAGACAGAAAGGAAAGGGACTTTGTAAATACTGTTTGACCAGAGAGGTAGGATGGGGGGGCACAAAAACTGCTTATGCACAGGGCCCAGAATTTGGTGCTACGCCCCTGCCTGGAGGTGAGAACAGGCTGGCTCTGATCCACTTAATCTTCCAACAGTGCTCTGAAGTTAAAAACAGTCCAGTTTGTTCCAGCTCTGACGCTCAGAGTGACGATTTACAAACACACCCGACCGCTGACCAGTCAGGTACATGTATTGATGTTGTGTTGCCGGGGCGGAGTTGACAGGAGCGGGCAGAGAGGCAGAGCGGGAAAATAAAATCAAACTCTGAGGTCACAGAGGCCGCTGGGCTTATGATTTTCAGAGGGGCATCGAGGGCAGATGGAGGGGCAGCCCGGGTCATGACTGTGTGTGTGTGGTTAAATTAATTTCTCTCTCAGCGTGTCGCCGTCTCTCGTTGTCTTTTCTGTCTGATTGTGGTCAGTTAATTACTGACATCATTAATCTGTCTGCGACGGCAGGAACAAGAGCTGCAGCATCAACAATGGCTCTTGTATCTCTCCTCAGTCACCGGCTGTGTCTCATCTCTCTGACTGAAGGCCTCGCACACTGAGTCCGCTCTTTAATCCATCATCCAAAAAGAAACGTTACACACAGAAACCTTTCACACTGATTCTGATGCTTTTCATTGTTCTGTTCGCAGCACGTGACAAAATGCAAAGACACATTTCCTCCTCTGCCTCTCTCCACTGGAGTCACCTCTATGACTGACATCACTTCCTCCCTGTCTTTCATCTGGCACCACAGCTGCATGAAGGGGCGGAGCTGTCCACATCCTCCTCCTCTTCATCATCATCCACCTGAATATCACTATCTGACCTGTTGAAAGTCATGAAATGACTCTGTGTCTTGTCTCAGCTGTCAAGCAAACGTCTCTTAAGGCTCTGACGGAGGCGAAAAAATCTGTTCAGAAAATTTTAACAATGGACGAAAGTTTCAGACTCAGTGTGCAAACATGACTGACACAACGTGAGGCCGTATTCACTTTTAAATGTGCGACAATTTCGGATGAGAAAATGGACTCAGTGTGCAAAGGCTTTAACTGATGAGATTTCTCACTCCCTGCAGCAGCAGCAGCGTTTTAGCGTATTTCAGCTCGTTGTGTTTTGGTTTTCCAGCCTCACAGCTCTCATCATAAACTTTAGCAGCCACAGTGAAGGAAGCAGCTGCTGTCAGTGGTAACTCTGGACTCTACCTGAGCAGCAGCAAACAGCAGACAAAGTTAGCGACCAGCTGGTGAACACAGTGGAGCAGTTAGCAGCTACAGAGACAGATAATTCCTCTAAGGATTAACTAAAACCAGAGCTTAAAGGAGACGGAGTACTGGACTTAAATGTGCTGTTTTTTAGGGGTGGAAATCACCAGAGGACCCACAATATTATTGCAAGATTGTGATGTGCTGAGTATTGCGATAAAATACATTGTGATTTACTACCTAAAGGAAAACTTTGTCAACATCGGTTTTACCTCATAAGATAAAGTTTTCATGGCAGCACCCATGTTAGAAGTGTTGTCTATTACATGCATGTGCTGCATTTTGCAGGAGGTCTGCAGTGTTTGTTTCGGTATGACTTTGGTGTCCTGCTCTAGTTTGGAGAGCTGATGCCCTCTGTGTGGAGTTTGCATGATAGTGATATTCTGGCGACCTGTCCAGGATGAACCCCGCCTCTCGCCCAATAACCAGTACCAGGATAAGTGGTTACAGAAGACGGATGAATGACCTGACTGGATCATTATCTACATGTGAACTTGCTGCAGCTGTATCTGTCAGGAGATCTGTGACCCTGACGAGCCTCTTGTCTTTCTGTATTCTGTGAGTCTGTCAGCAGAAAGCTGTCCGTCTGTCTCGTCTCCGTCTGACCTTCAGTTTCTGTGTCTCTCTGCAGGGAGAACCAGGAGAAGATGATCTACTACCTCCTGTTGGACAGGAAGGAGCGCTACCCCAGCTGTGAAGACGAGGATCTGCCGCCCAGGAATGACCTGGGTGAGAACAACAAGACAGCTTTCCCTTTGTCTCTGAACCTGCACTTTTACCGTCAAAAAATTCACCCAAATGTCCAAATATCAGATGTAATAAATCATATTTTCCTTGTTTTTTTCCTTACATATATTTTAGACCCACCCAGGAAGCGTGTGGACTCCCCGATGCTGACGCGCCACGGCCGCTGTCGTCCAGAGAGGAAGAGCCTGGAGGTCCTCAGTGTCACAGAGCAGGGGTCTCCCACCCCACCTCGCAGGGCTCTGGACACTAATGCACACAGCCAGAGGTACGAAGCAGCGCAGACACTGAAGTTATATCTGCATCACAACAACAAGAGGGAATCAAATGTTCAATAACAAACTCAACCTGAGGATTAGATTCGTGAAGTACAGCATTTTTTAAAAACATGTCAGTGTGAGTGAAATGGTCCTGCAGTGAATGTGTCACAGTGGGACTAACACACCCAGATCATGTGACTCCTGCATGTATACAGTCAATCAGACCCAAACTGGCCGAGGCGCTCTGAGCATGCTCCACAGTTTCCGCCCCGGGCTTTGACCCGGAAGTCCAATAGCATTAAATGTGTAAGAGAAGAAGAAGCCGGTAACAACATGGAGAAATCTACATCCAGAGCCGTGACTTTTTGGACGGACCAAATGTACAGAGCTGTAAAGTTGTCCACCATGGTAGCAGTTAGCTGCTAGCTAACCGTAGCTAACTTGTTTGTCCATTGTTTGGTCTGTGACGTAATAGGTCAACAGGAAAAAGGTCCAATACTAACAAGCTGAAAGGGGGCATATCTCCACCTATCATAGAGGAGTCGCACATACTTGGCTCAATAAATGGATTCCCCTCCCGTGCTTGTGTACTAATCGAGCTGTTACAGTCGCTCGACTTTACTGTGCATGGAAACGTTGTGAGTGAAGAGTTCTTATGGAATATCTTGATGGAACCTCTTAAAGTGAATCTGAGTTTTTCCAGTTTAATTTGCTGCTTAACATCTTTGATCAATGTAAGTGGGAGGTTGAGCCTGTTTCCAGTTCAATACAATTAATCTGTGTGCTTAAAGGGTTATGAACCCTACCACAGAGAAAGTAAGTCCTCTGAAAGGACTTTCCTCTCCCAGTACCCCAAATATAGCCAACGCTGCATCAGGTTTTTACCAGATGTCCCAGGATATCAGACAAAACTGGATAGTCTCGGGCACATACAGAACATGAGATTCCCCACAACGGTCACACAGAGGATCTAGATACGTTTTAGAAAGCTTGACCTTTAAAATATGGAGGCGATGCAACACCCTGAACTCTACAAGTCCATGCCTGGTGCAGATACATGCTGAGTGCACACCCTTCTGTGCTCCTGTCCATTGCTGCTCCGTTAAGGCAATTCCCAAGTCCTGATCCCAAGTGGGGATCAGTAAATCTAAGACTATCTGACTCATTAGAGTTATAGGTACAGATATATGATATTACTTCCCTCGACGAAGGATCAACAGAAAACAAAAGTTCCATCTGGGTGCTGTCAGGTGCACTGGGAACGGTCTTTGTATTGAATCTAGGACGGTTGCGAATTTATCGAAATCAGAAGAAGTGGGATTGAGGCGGATTGAATTTATTGTGCAGTAGTTCAAAAGAGGGAACTGTCAATAATATAAAGATCTTTCGTTTTTAGAATGCCATTACAAGTCCATAATTAAAAGGAGCTATCTGACACTGAGTGCGCTTACATGGACAGTTTAATTCCCTTTTCATTCTGAATGAAAGTTCATTCCTGTTAAAAGTGATCTTGTAAACACCTAATTCAGAATGAAAATGGCCAATGTGATTGAAAATTCAATCCGATGTAAATGGCTGGAATATTCCGTTTCTAATTCCGAATGAAAGAATTTCTCGTACTTGTATACACTCATTCCTCTTTAAGTTCATTCCGGTCTTTCTGCACATGCTCGTTTCCTTGCGCTTCTGGCTCCATGACGTATATAGCGCGCATAGCAACGGGCTGAGATAGAGCAGTCGGACTCGTTGCACTCACCGGTTTCCATTCGCCACAGCACGGTCTTCTATCTCCCTTCTTCGACCTTCTACCTCCCTTCTCCTCCTCAACAGACGAAGCATTAGCAGAACAAGGTTGTTGTCGTACTGCTGCTTCAAGAATATAAGCAAAACAAGCCCGAAAAAGGCACTAAGAACGGCGTCGTCAAGCATCTTGTTATCCGGAGCGAGGACTACAGTGTTTTCTTCCTGTAAACTTAAACACATAACATCCACCCCGCCCCCTATCCAATCAGAAACCTTCCCTGCCCCAAACCTTGCGCGGACCCGAAGATTTAATTCCGAATGATTTCATTCAGATTTATTTCATTCTGAATGAGAAGCCATCATGTAACCGCACCCAGTGAGAGACAAAAATGGCAGTTTGCGCGTAGAGGAGCAAAGAAAGAATTCCCATGCCATCCAAAATGCAGTCTTATTTTAGTCCAGATTTTAAGGGACTGTCTTGCAACAGGATTAGAGTTAGCAAATTCCAGTAGTAAAGGAAGGAAAGAGAGGTAGGACTACAGGAGGCCTGCTCAGTCTGCAGCCATGCAGATTGGTCGTTTGGTTTAAAATCCTGACCCCAGTAAGAGAGAGTTCGCACATCACAGGCCCAAGACTGAAAATTAGGCTATCTCATGCTTCTGATCTGTTCTGGTCTTTGTAAAAAATCCTTTCTAATTCTAGGGGGTGTAAAGTAAAATAAAATGACTGATTTCTTGATGTAGTTGTCTTAAAAACAGTGTCTTACTCCCAGTGAACTAAAGCATACCTTATGGTTGTTGCACCTGAAGGTCTCATTCACCTCCATGTCCTC